TTGTTTGACCAATTTCTTTTGAGTGGTCTTGGATCAAGTCTTAGAGTGTTCCAGGGTTTGACATAGTAAGCACATTATGGACACTTAATAAATGCTGAATTGAAAGGAGGCCATAGGTGTGAATAAAATACTTTTGAAAACCCTAACACAAAGATACAGTATTATTGTACAGTATGATATATACAGTATTATTACTGTATATATCATACTGTATATATATACAGTATTATTACTGTATATATCATACTGTATATATATACAGTATTATTACTGTACCAGGTTCCCAGAATTGGTGGCTATAAAAGAAATGACATGTATCCTGCCTTCAGGAGCCTCCCCATCCGAATTCATAGTTAATCCCTATCCTAAAGGCTGGTGCCACAGCTTTATCAGCATTCCTCTCCTCAACCCAAAAGTAATGTTTTTCACCCACAAACAGAAGACAGAAGAAAGAACATTTCTGCCATATGCTCAAACAACCAGAAAACAGATGAGCTGATTATTTAAGCAAATAACAGTAGCCCAGCATCCATCCAAAAGCTTTGGCATCTCAGCTCAGCCAAAACATTCAGTTGTGCATTATGAGAATCCTATACTGGATTTTTCACTTGCCTGTAAATATACTGTATTTGGGCAGCCTAACTATATAGCAGATCTCCACTAAAGAGCACATTCTTTACCTGGTTCTAGCTATCCCATCCACAGGAAGAAACCCTGAATGAGTTTAGCATTGCATATTGCTGCTACGTGGATTTTAAAAGTACACAATCTATAGAACCAAAGGAAAACAGACTTCCATTTTAACAAAAATAGAAGTCTTAATCATAGTCCTACCTGGAAATAAGCCAGATTTATTTTTAGTAAAAGCAAAAAGAGAGATACAGTGCTGGGCTCTGTGCCTGGGAATCTTAACTACCTAGTAGCTAAGACCTCCCTGTTTCATTTTTCATGCTTGTGACCTTATCCCCTTTCCCCTCTGATGTTTCCCAGGAAAAAATTCCTTGTAAAAGCTAAGAAAACCCAGCATTTCCAGGGAACTACACACAAGGGCAGTTAATCTTCTAATGAGGAAGTTGTGAAATGTCTCTCCTGGCAAATTGTAGAGTAGGAATTATGGGTAAGATTCAGATAGGTCTGAAAGGACAGGGAGAACAGTCCATTCATTCAACAAATGTTTAAAGTGCTTACTCTGTGCAAATCACTATATTTAATGCTTGGAAAAGAGAAAAAATTTAGAATGTGCTTAGGGATGTATTAAATCACCTATTTTGTGCAAATCCAGACAGGAACCAACGTAAGCAAAGTTAGGAATGAGCATGGCCCGTGGAAAATATATGAGGACCTTTGCAGCTAGGTGGTGCAGTGGATAGAGCACCAGCCCTGAATTCCGAAGGACCTGAGTTCAAATGCAGCCTCAGACACATAACACTTATAGCTGTGTGGCCCTGGGCAAGTCATTAACCCCATTGCCTAGCCAAAAAAAGAAAATATATGGGGACCATTCCTGCTGTGGGTGGAATATGAGCTCTTTGAGGGCAGGAACTGCTTCATTTTTTTGTCTTTGTAAATCTAGCACCTAGCACAATGCCTTACAGATTGTTGTTGTCATTTCAGTCATGTCTGACTCTTTGTGGCCCCATTTCGGGTTTTCTTGACAAAGATACTGGAGTAGTTTGCCATTTCCTTCTCCAGCTCATTTTATAGATGAGGAACATAGCAGGCATTTAGTAAATGTTGAATGAATTGAAGATGGGAAACAGGGGGAGATGAGATTGTAAGGAGTGTTTTACATGATGTTGTAACACTTGCTGACCAGTTTTTCTTTTCCTTAGTATACCATTGTATTTTTCCAATCCTAACCCTAACCAAACCAAAGTAGGGAAGTATCTTTGACATTTGTACAACCTTAGGATATTAAAATAAAAAGTTGTTCTATAAGGACAGTGTCCACTACAGTAGGACATTTAAAACCAAGAGAGAGTAAGCTGATGAGAAGCATCATGGATGAACTTAAAATGTGATTTCCTGGAGGCCTGGTACAGAGGAAATGTCTGAGGCATCCATAGTGAGCTTCAGCCTCCAGAGTTTTCCCCGCATCCATCAGGGAGCAACAGCTGCCTTTACAGGAGTCAAATGTGACTGCCACTCAAGTGAAATGGCATATTTCAGCACTTCATGACTGATTTGGGGAGGGAGCAAATGATGGTTCTCCTCTGCCAATAGCTCCAGGGAGCATTTGTTCCCTTGGCAAAAAGTGAAGTTTGTGAACTGAATTGGGAGTTCAGACCTGCTGGAAGCAGCAGGCTGCCAGCTGCTTGGAAAGTTTATTTATATTGTATCTTTTAAATTCTGATTTCATGCAGAAAATGTATTTTAAACTATAATGCAAGGTTTTTTTTTTCCTTTTGGAGAAGTTGAGAAGTAGCTAAGTACCTTAATGGGAAATGGAGCATGAGCTGTATTCAGAGATTTTCCCAGAGGGCAGGTAAAACAATTTGTGATAAATTTATGAATTATCTATTGTATGAGAATACTATAAATCCTAAGCCAAATTGAAAGGATCCTGGGACAGGACATTAGGAAGAAGGATCCAGAAGGTAGTTATACCTATCTTTCTGTCTCTGTTCCTCTATGTACGGGGATGCTTCCAAATATAGGAAAATGTCCTGTTCTCCCTGCAGCAATAACATTAATTCTTTACACATGGAAGGGCTGCCTAACCCTTGTTAACCAGACCCCTTAACATCCTCCATACCAGGACTCAACCTTTTTTGTGTTATGGACCCTTTTGACTGTCTGGTGCAGTCAAATGGAACCCTTCTTAGAATAAACATTTATTACTTACATTCATAGTATAAGAAAATGTCTAATTTGGGTTAAAAAAGTAAATATTTTTCCATCCAAGTTCATGGACCCCCTTGAAATCTATCCATGGACCGTGGACATTTAACACTTAAGAACTCCTAGTCTAGATTGGTTATCTGCTAGGACTTTGTATTTAGGTCATAATTTTTTTCTTCAATAAACTTAGAGCACTTGTTTTTTTAAGAAACATAAGTTATTGTTTTCTTCTATTGAGAGATGAATAAAACAAGGTAACAGTGTTTTCCACACCAGGCAGATCTAATATTAATTGACAAGCAAACATAGAGATTAAAATGGAATTTCTTTTATGTGTGTTTTTTTTTTGGAGGCAATCAGAGTTAAGTGACTTGGCCCAGGGTCACACATTTAGTATCTTATGCTGGATTTGAACTGAGGTCCTGCTGCCTCCAAGGCCACTGCGCCACCTAGCTGCCCCAGAATGTTACTTTTCTAGGGTTCTGTTATGCTCTCAGCCTTCATTTGAATTTCATTAGCTTCATACCTGAACAGAATTTGGACTTGGGAATATTTGATTGTGTCCTCACAGGGAGATACTAAGAAAGGAGGCTTCCATTCATTACTTAAGAAGAAAAAGAATATTTTGACAGCCCAGGTACAAATTTTTCCTTTCCCTCCTGGTAACTCCTTACTTTCTGATGCTAACAGATCATTTGGGAGTAAGCAGGGGTGAGGAAGGGAGGATAGAATGATGATAATGCCTGCATAATTAAATTTCTATCATCATCCCGAGTATGTCATCCTTGACTTCTCACTTTTACCCCTCTGCCATATCCAATCTGTCGCTGAGTCCTGTCAATTCTGCCTTCACGTCTCCTCTCACGTATGTCCCCTTCTTTTCTCTGATACTGCCCACCATCTTGATGCAGGCCTTTGTCACCTCATTGGTGACAAAGTCACTTGGTCTACTGTAACACCTGCTGGTTGGTTTCCCTGTCTCAAGTCTTTTCCCCATTTTAGTCATCAAAATATTATCAAAATGATCTTTGTAAAGTATCAGCCTGACCATGTCATTTCATGCTCAGAAAACTCCAGTGGCTCTCATTACCTCCAGAATTAAATGTAAACTCATCTGCTTTTAAAGCCCTTTATGACCTGGCCCCTTCCTACCTTTTCAGTCTCCTTATGCTTTACTTCCCTCTACGTATTCTGTTATAATCCAGTGAGATGGTATCCCTGCTGTTCCTCACACACAAACACTCCGTCCGTCTCCAGACTCCATGAATTTCCGTTGGCTGCCCCTGCCCCATGCCTGGATTCCTCTACCTCCTTGTCTCCGATTTATCCCGTATCTAGTTTGTTAGTATTTAGTTGTTTGCATGTTGTCTCTCCCATTGAATTGTAGGCTCCTTGAGGGCAAGGGACCACTGTTACCTTTCTTTAGGTGGCTGAGTGGATAAAGTGTCAGGCCTGGAATCAGGAAAATCTGAGTTCAAATCTGGCCTCAGACACTTACTAGCTGTGTGACCCTGAGCGAGGCACTTAACCCTCTTTGCCTCAGTTTCCTCATCTGCAAAATGAGCTAGAGAAGGAAATGGCAAATCACTGCAGTATCTTTGCCAAGAAAATCCCAAATGGAGTCACAAAGAGTAGGAAACCTGAAAGAACTGAACAATGACAGCTAGCTCACCACTTGGAACATAGTAGGTGCTAATAAACACTTGTTAACTTGATTCATCAAGGTGTTTTGGTGATCCCTGATTTCTTGGGAGAGAGACTGGCTAATAAAAGAAACTCACTGTTGTGTTGTAGTTTTAATCTTTTAAGAACTACCCATCCCTTTCAACATTTCTTCTGGCTCCCTTGGAACTGTTTCTAAAATTAGCATCCCTGCCTGTGTAAGAGCTAGGCTTAAAAATGTAGATTTTTTTCTACGTTCTTTAATATTTAAGTGAATGGAATTCAGACATTACTCTAAGTTAGATATTACCCTTAATTTCATTTGCTCTATACTGCATGGATTTATATATAAGATGTCCTTCCCAGGACAGCTTCCTTCAAGAAAGTTACCTTGCCTAAAAGAGAAATGAAAACATGAAGGAAAACAGGGCAAAGAAAGCCATTTTTCATTCCAGCAATCAGTATTGTGCAGTCACAACTCATTCGGTATCTAAGCAACAAGGAGCTGACCACAGAGCATTTGTCTTTCCGGCTTAATAGTCTCAAGCAGAGGAGATAGCAGCTACTCCAGCTGTTCACCTTATTTCCTTGGGAGATGATGCAAAGTGCTTTAGTTGGATCTTGGGTAAGAGCCTCTCTACAACCAATTAGCTACGTAATTTCCCTAGTCCTTAATTCTGTGACTGTTCTACTAATTGATTACCTGGAACTTGAGAGAGCCAAGAGAATTAAATATAAATATAAAGATTATAGGTCCTGGACACAGAGCTTTAACTAGACATTCTAATACCCCAAGCAAATCCCCAAAATGCACTCTGGGGTCAGCAGAATTATGGGAGGCCTCAAATCAGCTTTTCAAAAGAAATTAAGGTAAGAGAACTTTTGTCAGAGAGAACTTGGACCTCAGGACAGAGTCTTGAGATCTTAGGACATGCTGTGGCTATTAGGGAAGTTATTCAGGGATGAGGGTAATACACAGAGAGGAAGAACCAAGTGATTCCTTCATATTTTAACTAATTATTCCTCCTAACTAGTTGCTAAGTTCAGTTTCCAATTTCAGAAGCACAGGTGTTTTCAGCACCCTCTAAATGGTAGCATCCTGCATCAAAGACCTTGTTACCCTAATAATTACAGGTCTGAATATAGGATTTAGAGTTTGGAGGGGACTTTAGAGTCATCTAGTCCAATCTACCTTTATCTAAAAATGAGAAAACTGGAACCCAGAGAAAGGAAATAGTTTGCCCAAAGTTTCACAGGTTATATGCCTTTGGCTAGGTTGTGAGCTTGTAACTAGATTAAAAATGAACATCTGATAGTCTGCCAATTTTCCCCTGCCCACTCTCAGCTCAAGTTTCTTCTAAATGGACCTGCCTCCCTTATTTGCTGAAGCAGGGGACTCTAGGTGTTGAGTATCACATATCCTGCCAGATGTGATTGAGGGGATGGGTAGTTGTGTTAGACTGCTCTTTCTTTCTCTTTCTTTCTTTCTTTCTTTCTTTCTTTCTTTCTTTCTTTCTTTCTTTCTTTCTTTCTTTCTTTCTTTCTTTTTCTTCTTTACAAAAGATGGTTCACTAGGTAGAGGGGAGCAGAGAGACATATTCAGAAATGAAGGCAATGAAAAATAAAATATAGCTATAAATTTTTTTCAAATCACTTCCACGTGTCTCCTGCCCAATTCAGCCTTTGTAGATGTTGTCAGTGAGGCTTCCTTCCTCTATTCTGATCTAGTCAGCCTGACTCCAGTTCTACATAGATACCAGCCCATCTCACTCCTATTGACTCCTTAACGTATTGGGTAAGGGAGTATTGTATCAGCTTGTATCCTTTTGGCACACCCCAAGTACCCAGAGATAAGTCATGTGTTTCAATGGGGCCACCATGAGACAAGCAACCAAGAAAAGAGGGAATTATTTCATGAATCCTAATGGATAGGGTGCATTAAGCCATGAGCTACTGTAGATGACAGTCCTGGAAAACTTTTCCTTGCCTGCTGCCTTTTGCTTTCCTTCCTGGGGTCTGGGGTCCTGGATTAGCTTTCTTCTTTCTGTCAAAGGACTACATTAGAAACAATTCAGGATCATAAGAGTTGTGTGGCTGGGTTAGACCCAATGGTCCATTCAGCTCAGGATTTTGACGTACTATGGGTGGATGTATTTGGTCTCTTTGACATTAATCTTATTAAAAGCTAAGGTAACATCTATGGTCCTGTCACAAATTTATCAAAATCTTTTTTGTTTGCATTTATATTGTTTGCCCATAACCGATCTGATAAGTTTGCTAGTGTGTCATGTGATTTATCTGTCCTAAACTTGAGGCAGCATGGTACAGGAGAAACAGTACCAGCTCTGCAGGAGGCCCTAGGCCCACAGCCTACCTCTAACACTGGGTGGCTGTGGGTGGACCTTGAGCTAGGTCTCCCTTTCCTCCTCTGCAAAAGAAAGGAGTTGAACCAGAGGGCCTCTAAAGGTCATTTCAGCTCTAGGTCTGTGTGATCCTAAGGCTGTAGCGGCTGACATTTTTACAGAGCACTTTATGATTTACAAAGTAATTATTTCTTTTTTCATTTGAGCCTCCTAAGATTCCAGCTCTGATAATTTCCTGCTGTGTGGTCTTGGGCAAGTCATTTAGCCTCTGTAGGCCTCAGTTTTTCATCTATAAAATGGGAGGATTGTACTAAATTATCTCTAAGGTCTCTTTCAGCTCTCTATGATTCTATCAAAAACACAATGAGGCCTATACTACAGGCAATATTATCCTCATTTTGCAGATAAGGAAAAAAGTCTCAGAGAAATTAACTTTACTCAAGGTCACACAATTAGAAGGTGGCAAAGTTGGAATTCAAACTCAGGTCTTCTGACACCAAAGTCGTGGCTCTTTCCACTCTACCGCAGCTGTCTCCTAGTGTCATTCATGATTCCATCTCCTACAACCATCCACCCCCTCCACAAACGTGCGTGCGTGCGCGTGCACACACACACACACCCAGTACATAGCATTTCAGCATTTGCTGTGTAAATAACGCTGTGCTTCTCTTATCCAGACTACTAATGAATCTATGGATTATGATCATATCCCCTTTTAGTCTGTGCCTTTCAAACTGGATTTGGGAGCTCTTGGCTTTTGGGGAGGGGAGGAAGGATGATTGAGGAGATATGAGAAACAATCCCCGTGGGAGCTTGTGAGCATGCTGTATATATAGTCAGGCTCCATCTTGGATTCCCTCAGGATGAATATGGCTGCTTCAACAATAGTTCTAACCCCAGGGAAGGCTGAACCATCTTCTACAGCCCTGCGATTGGTTCTCCATAATCTTCCCAATCAGGGATAGGTCCCTTACCCATTCCCCACTGTCTTTTGGTTACAGAAGTGGTTCCCCTCTCTCCCCCTTTGTTTTGTGAAGCTGTACATGTTTTAAGTTCTAATTACCCTAAAATAGCATCTCTGAATGTTTTCCCCTAAGAGCTGAGGTCACAAACGTTCCCCGAGAGCTCTGAACTCCAGAGACCTGAGCTCCTTTCAGAGATCTGCTTCCTCTCAGACGTGCAGCTGGGAGCTCCATTCGTTCAAAGGCACTGCCTACCCAGGAGCCTCCGTGGGTTGAGATTTCCCCTAATGACAAAGCCCTGGGAAGCATACTTGAACTGATACCCTTAGGGCCTAGGTGCCCAGGGAACGAGTCATATTCATTAGCTTTCCTACTACTTATTACAGTACAACTCTGGTTTCTATGGCCACTACAGAGGCCAGTTCAAGTGTGAACTTGCTCAGGATTACCGCCTAGCAGCCAAGCCCCAGCCTCCAGCAGTGTTCCTACAAAGAATTAAGGTAAGAAAGGAGGGGAGGAGGGGCAGCTAGGTGGTGCAGTGGATACAGCACCCGCTCTGGAGGACCTGAGTTCAAATCTGGTCTCAGACCAGACCCTTGACACTTACTGACTGTGTGACCCTAGGCAAGTCATTTAACCCCATTGACTAGCCAAAAAAGACAAAAACAAAATAAGAAAGGAGGGGAGGGCACCACTGGCTGTAGGCCCTGAGGAAGCAGAACAGAAGAACTAAAACAGAATCATCCCTTTTGCCTGTCAATATTCTTTTTGTTCTTGATGCTGCACTCTCACAGCAGGACCAGATGTTCAGAGGGGAGAACCACTTGCCCACAGGTAGACTTCCTGGCTCTCCCCCAGAACAAGCTACCCCAGATCCTGAGGCAGCCTTTATGTTCTAAGGCAGAGATGAAAAACAAACAAAAATAAACTCTGAAAATGTCTGTGAGAATGGGAATTGTTCTGTGGTTAGAAGAATAATGCAAAAGAAGGGAAAAAGAGGATCACTGAAGCATTAAAACAAACACACACACAAAAGAGAACAGCAGGAGAGTTGAAGGGAGGGACAAACAGGAGAGTTTGGAAACGAATATTATATGCTTTTTTTTTTAAAGCCAGCTGTCATAAAGATTGCATATGCAATCTCTTTCTGTTATTTATATATGGAATGTTCGTTTTAATTTGTGGGTCAAGTACAGAATAACACAGGTTTTTGTTTTGTTTTAAAAAGAATATTGGATGTGAAGTTAGGAGACCTGGGTTTCAACCTTGGCTCTGCTGCTTCCTACCTGTTTGACTTGGAGGAATTGATTTCCTCTCTCCGGGCCTTAGCTCTGTCCTCTGTAATATGAGAAGGTTGTTGACCATATTATTGTAAAGCTCTCTTCCAGTTCTAGGCCCTGTGAGCAGTTGGCTTGGTCTGGGGGAGAAGTTGAGCTTCATACGAGAATGTAAGCCCACGTTACTGGGAGTCCAGGGAATGGGAAAAGGGTACAGAATCTGGTGTAATCAACCCCTTGGCCTTGAATCCCAGCTCTGCTGCCAGCTGCGAAGCTGCTTCTCCTACCTGCGCCTCCATTTTCTTATAAAATGGTGAAGATAGACTAAGGTCCTTAACAGCTCCAAGTCCAGTGGTACAAAGGTTGTTGAGCCTTAGGAGACTATGAAGTTAGCCTTGAATTCTGCTTTCTAAAAGGAAGCCAGGTCATGGCACTGTTCAAATCAAATGGATCCTTGTAGATCCATTTACGTGATTTGTTTTCTCTTCTTCCTATAGGGTGTGAAAGGCTCCGTTTCTCCCTCTCAACCAGTCAGTACTCATTGCTAGCTACATAACCAAATGTTCAACAAAAGGCTAATGATGGTGGCACTAATTTCCTCAAGTAGAGAGGCTTAGGGCAGATAGCTGAAGTATCCGTGGAAGATGGGCTGCCCATGAGGAAGGAAAGTGAATCTCACTAAGGCCATGTTCTCAATTAGGCCCCTGATTGGCACAGCCTGATTGAGCCTCCCCCTTCCAGAAGGAGTTAGGTGGTATGGATGTTCCGATTCTTCAGCCACTATATTCATTCACTGAACTAAACAGCTCATTCCTGGTAGGCAAAAGCACCAAGTACTGTGTATTTACCAAAAAGCAGTTTTGGGTTTCATTTAGGTTGCCTGAGCAGTGGTAGGAGGAAAGCTAACACATCTTTGGCTAAGAGCTCTAGCTTTCTTGTATCAGATCACATTCTTCACCAATCAGACCAGTTGAAGACCCAATTTGTTTTACTTCTCTGGCCTCTGATTCTACCAGATAAACTACAGATCACTGTCAGACTTTGCCCTAGATTAGCTTAGATAACTAAGGTCCCACTGGGCAGTTCTTTCCCAGTCCTCCATTTTCCTCTGATACATAATGTATTGAGACAGTAATAGTACTAATAACTGACATTTATATATCACTTTAAGGTTTGCAAAGTACTTTACATAAAGAGGATGTCCCTGTATTAAAGCTGAAAACCACACAAAGACTTTTGGGACAACCCTATATTATTCACTCCTCACAACAAGCCTTCAAGGTAAAGGCTACAGATGTTATTATTCCCATATTACAGATAAGACAGCTGAGACTCAGGTAGGTGAAGTCATATGTCATGGGTCCCAGAGGTAGGTGGTTTTTTTGAAGTGAGATTTCAGTACAAGTGTTAATTCTAAGTTCATTATACCATTCTGTGTTCCCTAGTTACACATTCTTCCCAGTCTAGAACAGATGTCATAATCTCAGAAGACAATCCTACGAGATGCTTCCAGTTCCCAGTTTTCTCAACAGGCCTTGCAAGACTGGCCATCTCAGGCACCAGTACCGCTAACTCAGTTATCCTCCAAACTCAGGGCAAAAAATTTCTGTTTGAAAACCAAAAGCAAGAAAAGTTTCAGCTCTTGGAATTATTAGCAAAGCTTTTAGTAAGAGCTAGTTTGCGACCATTTCCCAAAGAGTTGATGATGGAGCTGAAGTAGTCTGGGAAGCACAGCCGAGTAATTTCCCTGGATACTTTTCCCTAGATGTACCAGCCCAGAGCAGAAGCTTACAACAGGGTGAGGGAAGTCATAAAGGCACCCATGTCCAAAGGTGCAGGATGTAGCTACAGCTCCTGACTTAAAACACCCCTCAGGACTGGGGAAAAGAATCTATACTACAACTGAAACATAAGCTTGAAACCATTGAAAAATCAAAAGGGCTAATATGGTGAGTCCTTAATTAATCTATGTAATAATAATAGCTAATATATATGGAGAGTTAAAGTTGGCAAAGCTGCTTACATATGTTATTTAATTGGATTGTCAAAACAATCCTGTCAGGTAGGTAGTACAGGTATTTTTATCCACATTTTACAGATGAGGAAACTGAGGCCTGGAGAGGGCAGGATGGTGCCCACAATTACATAACTAGTCAGTGTGAGAGATCTTTCTTTGCTCCACATTCAGCACTTTTTCCTTTGTACCATAATGCCCCTGAGGAGTGCTTGGGTATTGGGTTCTAATGACAACTTTAATATTCTGGTTAAATGAGGATTAGCAAAAAGCAAACCCTTTTTGCTTTAATCCTTGCTGTTGAAAACCTTTCTAAAATGTCTAAATTCGCTTGCCTGATTTAGCAAGTAAAATCTGTTGAACACCATCACAGCATTGGGAGGGGGGGGTCGGAAACAAGGGTTAAGTGACTCGTCCAGGGTGACACAGCTAGTAAGTGTCAAGTGTCTGAGGTAAAATTTGAACTAAGGTTCCCCTGACTTCAAGCCAGTTCTCTATTCACTGCGCCACCTAGCTGCCCCCAAGCATTTTTTTTTGATGATTCAAATGATGCAATTGCCCAAGGATCATCATTAATGGTGTACAATCCTATAATTGTAAATGTAGGAATTGTTGCGCATTGTGATAACTCTGCCTTCGCCACTGGCCATTACTTTTTTCTTTTTTTAAGTAAGACTATGCATGAAGCTCTGTGATTTCATCAGTCAGTACTTCTTCCACCCATAGATCACACCACCTCAAAAATTTCATCACTTGGGAGGCTATTTTCTGTGATAAGCCTCTCCAAACTTGGGCGGGGGCTCATACTCAGATGACAAATAACATAGTTCATTCTCAGGCCTATATTTGAAGTGTTTAGCATGGCATGGGATCTACCAGAGCTTCTGCTCAGCTGACAGAGCCTTCAAGAATCTAGTCACCTTCCTACTACAATGAGGCTTTGGAGGAGGGCTTTAATCATACTTGATACATGTTTGCAATTAAAGAAAGGTAGGAATAGAAGATTGTCTCTTCCTGTGCTGTGCAGGGTGGCTCAACAAGCATTTATTAAGTACTTACTGTTAGTCACTATGGGAATACAAAGACAAAAATGAAAGCATCTGCCCTCAAGAGTTTACATTCTATTGGCAACACATACATAAATAAGTATATACAAAATAAATGCAAGGTAAATTTGGGAGGGAAGGAACTAGCAATTTAAGAGAAAAGAGAAGGCCTCTTGTAGATGGTGGCACTTTCACTGAGCCCTGAAGGAAACTTGGGAGTGCACGCCAGGAACAGGAGACAGCCAATGTCCTGTTAGCGAAGCCACAAGAAGGCCGATTTGGATAGACCATAAAGGACATGGAGGAGTGAGATATATGGGTATAGATATCTATATATACAACAAGTCTGGAAAGGTAAATGGAAGCCATGTTGTGAAGGGCTTTCAATGCCACACAAAGGAAGTTTGCATTTGATTGTAGAGGGTACTAAGGAGTCTCTGCAGTTTGCTGATCCAGGGAGTGAAATAGACTATCACTTTGGCAGCTGTGTGGAAGACGGATTAGGTAGGGGAAAGACTGAAAGCAAGAAGATTAGCTAGAGCTAGGCTCTTACAATAGTTCAGGTGTGGTGACTAGCGCCTGTGTAGGATGGTGCTCAATGAGTGGAAAGGAGACATATGCAAGAGATGTTGTGGAGACAGAATCTACAAAACTTGGCAACTGGTTGGATATATAAGGTGAGAGAAAGTGGGTGACACCAAAGCTGTAAATTTAAATGAGTGAATGAGCTGTTCAGAAGAAAAGATGAGTTGTGCTTTACATATGTTAAGTTTGAGACTCTATGGGGACATTCAGTTCAAAATATCCAATAGGCAGTTTTGGTGATGCAGGACTGGAGCTCAGGAGAGAGACTAGGGCAGGATATATAGACCAGAGAGTTACCTATGGAGAGATTGAACCCAGGTGAACTTATGAGGTCCCCATGTAAATGTATAGAGAGAAGGGGGCCAAGAACCTTGGTCCATACCCATTGGACTTAAGGAAATAGTATATGGATGACGTAGGTCTTGATCAGATCCCAGAACTCTGCTCTAGACTTCCCAACTAATGAGTATGATGTATGAATTTTTGAAAACCAATAGATTCCTTGAACAGTATGAGATATAAATGTAGAAGAAGGACAGCAGGGGTAGGTACATCAGTAAGCACCCTAAGAACCATCTGCATTTTCACTGAACTTAACAGTCCATTCCTGGTAGGCAAATACACTCAAGATCAAAATTTTATTCATTTGTTGAGTATAGATTTAGAGCAAAGAAAGTTGGATGTTCCAAATTTCTAACTGGTTGTATTATGGGATGTTTCTAACAAGCCTGATGAGCTGCCCTTCTCTGTTCAAGTGATATTTTTGCTTAATACCTGGGAGAGAGCGTGAGTGTTGTGTCAAACAAGTAGTATGACGTAGTGAACAAAGCCCTGGGTTGGGAATTAGGAGACCTGGGTTCCAGTTGCCCTCTGCCACACCATTCTTTCTTTCACTGAACTTTCACAGCAATTGACAGAGGGTCCAAGGCTACAGAGTTACTGGTCACATTAGAGGAGGAAGGTGACTTCTAGATGTCATAAAGAGAGGCATCCTCTGTATCTCGTTAGAAATGCCTCTAAGCATACGAGTTCCTTCTGAAAGTATTCCTGAAGATGCTGATCTTTATTCCTGGTGTATGGGTTCTCATTAACCCCAATGTCAGAGGGTAGCATTTCCCAAACTTATCCCAATGTGAGCAATCTACATGATTTTGGAGTCCATAGCAGCCCTTTCTCCCCTTATTATTCTTATTTGCCTTTTTCTCTAAAAGCCAATTGCAGAGAAAACAATTCCATTTTTCCTGAAAACTCTGAGAGAGGTGTTCTCATATTATGGTACTATAAAGTAGGGGAGAGAATTACTCCTCCATCTCATCCCATTTTTTATTTTCTTTCAAGGAACCACCAGGACAACACTTATTCTCCAAACATGACAATCGTGGTATCTTTGATCCCGTGAGTGTTGGAGGAGGGTGGGAAGGGTAGCTCCTTAGTTCCTTCCACAGTTCTGTCTGGCTCCTGATAGGGTCATAGAGGGACTATTAGGTGGGACTTTCCACTCTCTGTTCCTTTGTTCTAAACAGCCTTTCAGCCAATTAGGGGACTGTCTTGGTAGTGGGATTTTAGAGGCACTGGAAAGGCTCATGTCCTGCCAAAATATTTCTCTGCATGACACCTTAATAGGTTGACTTATTAAAAATGCAAGTACTTTTGGAAGTTACACTTTAAGTATTATCAATCATTTATGCCTTAGAATAAATCTAAGAGCAAAGTCTGAAAGGTGGAGAAGAAAACAGGAAGGCATTAAGAGATGAGAAAAGGAGAAGCCATAGATGGGAATATGGCAGATATATGGTTTTGCTAGGGATGGGATGTGCTTGTGTGTCCTTTGGGGACCGGGCCAAGCTTTGCATCAGTTGAGCAGGCTAGGCTGAACTGATATGATCAGCAGGAATAGTAGGGGCAGGGAAAGGCAAGGCCCCAGTGGGGTAGCCCTGGGCCTGGGATCAATGAGTTGTGACCCTCTCTTCTGTTATATAGGGAATAGGGAAACGGAAAGCTTGGGAGAAGCTCAAGAAGAAATGCAATGTTTTCAACTGGCCTCCTGAAGCCCAGGGGCCCCTTGTTTCCAGTTACCAGAAAGACTACTACCAGAAGGAGTCAGGTGGTGGCATGGATGGACCAATTCTTCAGCCACTAGTCCACTATCTTCAGTCTGGAGCCCCACAGTCCCTGGACTTTCACCAAATACCTAGCACCACCTATCAGCACAACTTCTGTCATCAACTTGTAAGCCAGATGCCAGATGAGAAGTTTAGAAAGGAAGTTTCTGAGACCAAGGAAAAACTGGGGACTTCCCAGATTTCTGAGTTCAGGGGAAAACTGGGGATTTCCCTTTGCCCTACCCCCAGTGCTCTGTCCCAGGCTCTGCCAGAGCTCCCTGTTACAGTGAATCGTAACAAAGCGGAGCCCTTCCTGCATTTCACTGTCTCTGACTGTTTACGTTGGCTTGACCCATTAAAGAAAGTAGGTTAGAACTCATCCTTTGCCAAAGCAACTAGCACACCAGCCTGTTTTTCCTCCTTTTCCAGCAGAATCCTTCAAAGGAACGAGGATTTTTAGCGTGGAAAAGAAAAGGCTTACAGATTCGTCACACATTTTGAAGCCTGCTATGTGGCAACGGGATCAGACAGACTTTTGTTCTATCTGCCCCAGAGGGCAAAACTAGAACCACTGGGTGACAGATTCATCTTGATGGCAGGAAACCCCTGGAACAATTAGAGCTATCCCACGGTAGACTGGGCTGCCCATCACTAGGGATCTTCAAGTAGAGGCCAACGGGTTGTTGCAGAAGGGAGTCCTGTTCAGCCATGGGTTGGCCCTAACGTCCTCCGAGGTCCCTTCCAAATCTAACAACCTGGAATTCTTTGAGAAGCATGCCAGCAGCAGGGCCAGAGCCCAGCAAAAGCTCCCCCATTCTCAAGCTCCCACGCCTACCCTGGCGCTGCGAATCATGCTGTGGGCAGGGTTCAGTTTTTGTGAGATACTCCTATTAGGAATGTCAAATCCACAGTCAACCTATGGAAATAGGAATTGGATCCCAAGGGAGTGGGGCAGTGCCTTTTCCACGAACCATCTCGTGACAGAAACCTGGCCCAACATAGGAGGTTGGAATGAATAAAGGAGTGTGGAGTGGTACAGACAGCAATATCCAGTGGGGAGGGAGGGGGTACTGCCAGAACACAGGCCCGCCAGCAGCACTAGCTTGCTGTATTTGGTAATTCTCATCACTCTGCCCCTGACTCCCACATGAAACAGCTGGAGGAAAAGCAGAACTTTCAAACTACATTCAGGAATAACTGAGACATTTGTTGGGGAGGACCAGGTCCCCTTTGTGGCTCAGACCTTCAACCTCTGCCCACTGGGAGAAGATGGAGGATGAAGGTCTGACCTAGGGATCAAACACTAGGCTGTTGACATAAGTAGTTCATGAGCAGTCTGGCCAATGTAGGAAGAGCATTGTGTTTCCTAGACAAGGGGACTACGCTCTCTCTGGCACCCATAGTCTCCTTCCAAAATTACCCCCCCAAAAGGGGGACCAAGGTCCAAAGATGAGAGACCTCAAGATTGTCCAAAATCTGAAGGGTTGCTGTACCACTCTAAGCTTGCATTGCAAAGAGCTTTTCCATCTGTTTTCTCATGGACCCTCACAACATGCCTATGTGGTAGAAAGGAAAGTTTTTATCCCCATGTGACAGATAAGGAAACTAAGCATCTAAAAGGTCAGTAGCGCCCAGGTCTCCTGCTTATACTCCAGATAGCCTTTTACAAATAAGGTAATATCATAATGAAAGAACATAACATCACAAGACCCACGCCAGAGAATACCTTCCTTGGGACAGAACAGAGATGGCTGCAGAAGTTTGACAAGCTATCGTATGAGCCTCTTGCCAACCCACTGTGTTACTAAGCAAGAGACCTGGTCACTAGTCCTCTAGCCTGGCTGAGGGGTCCCTAGCTGAGCACAAAGCATTAGGAAGATGCACCAGGCTGTCCATACAGGCCCCAAGGCTTGAATCCTAAAGAATCAGGAAACAGGTTTCTGGTTCTAGTTGTCCTCCCCTTGACTGGTCCGTGGGAGAGAATGGAGAAAAGCAGAGACCGCAGAGTAATCAACACCACCATGCACTTCAGTAGTCTTCATATTTCACGTGATGACAGCCTGGAACCTCACAACAGCCCTGTGAGGTAGGTGGGGCAGCTTATTATAGATCCCCCATGTCATGAAAGGGAAAGCTGAGGCACGACGAGCTGAAGTGACTTGCTCAAAGTCACCCCACAACCACTGGTGGAATGGGGAACTATAACCAAGCTCTCTTAACCAGTGCCAATTCTCTCCACCTTCCCCCAGTACTAAGAAAAGCGACGTCTTTGGGCAGGATAAAACTAAGCTCTCCCCCACCCAAGAGCATCCCCCCCCCACATACACACCACAAGCCTTTTGCTCCCTCAGCACAAACCGTTCCACTGAGTGTTGTGTGTTTACAGTGTTGTGTTTACAGTGAAGGCCAGCTTTATTTAGGAGGCGCAGGTGTGCCAGGCCACCTCCTTGTAGGCACTAAACTAGGGAGGAGTTCCTATTGGGTCCCATGGGCTATTCCTGATTCTTGTTCAGCTTAGGCCCACAGGGGTGGTACAGCTACTAAGGGCCACAGCAAGGAGTCGCTGTGGCCTAACTGGGTCAGGACCACATCAGGGAAGGGCAAAGGGAGTGTAGGGACGTGGAGGAAACTGTTGGCCTCCCACTCCCAGAAAAGTTGGAGCCCTAGAGCCCTGGTGCTCAAGATGTGTTAATGGGAAAGACAGCTCAGTCCCTGGGTAGCCAGCTTGACTTTCTCTCACCTCCTCCCCTACCCACCCTACACTCAGGGTGGTAGTGGGCGACTCTCACCATTGGGGCCAACCCTTTGGCTGTTGTTATATATCCCAGGTTCATCTCTTGCTGAGGGGCTGCTCTGTGTCCCTGCGCTACTCCCTACCTCAGAAAGCCAAAGGTTGTTCTAAACATGGACAGGAAAATAGCATCACTGAGCCAAGGAGGGCAGTACACTCTCCTCCCCGCCCCTACCACCCAATCTCTGCAGAAACCGCCATTGTGGTCTTTGGTGAGCAGATCTGATCAGGTGGGTTGTGCCAGTCTTCAGACCCCATCCCGTAGGCACAAGGCCTCCACAGCTCCACTGGGGCCCTGGGCCACTCCACCAATGACAAAAAGCTGTTGCCCGGCCTGGAGACTGGAACAGGAGCATCGAGCTGTCGGCATCGAGGGCAGTACCTCCCATTTTCTCTTTGCCAGGCTGAAGCCTTCTACAGAGCCCAGGGGACATGGCTGGTTGCCTTTGAGAGGAGAGATCCAGTGTGATGAGAAGAGTCTGAGCCCTTGAGCCAGGGGTAGCCCCAGAAGGACAGACAGCATGGCAGCATCTGGCCTCCACCCACCCTGACCCAGGTCAAAGAAAGAACAATGATTTATAGGGGCCTCACAGGTCACCCAATCCAAGCCTCTTGTTTTGTAACTACTTTTATTTGATGCTTTAAAGTCAAAGTACTTTCCTTAACAACCCTGTTGGGGTAAGCAGCAATTAGACTGAACACTATTTTACAGATGAGGAAAGTGAGCCTCTGAGAGGTTCTGTAATTTGTCCATGGTTACACTTAGAACCTAGGTCTTCTGGCTCATAATCCTGTGTCCTTTCCACTATTTCATGCTATAATCCTACACCCGGAGGAGCTTTATTGATACTGCAAAATATATTCAGTTCCTTCAGAAGACACCTCTCTTTTAAAACGCTCTACCATAGCAAAGATCCCTAAGAAAATATATTTCATATTTGAGTTTTTAAAAGTCACCAACTATTATAATATTCTCAAACCATCTCTGTGAAGTTGGTAAGGCAATTAACCACCCCCATTTTACAGGCAGGTAAACTGAAGACCCATTAAATGTCTTTATATACCAAAGGAAAGACTAAGAAAATGGAGGAGACAGTGTCTAAGCTTGAGATGTAACCACTGTAACTCCCTGGGGTAAGCTCACTTGCTTGGTGGTCACTACTCCCACAATCTTGCCCTCTCCCCGCCTCAAGTCCTAGAGGTAGGATAAACAGGACTAGGGCTCTGAGAATACTCACCCAGGCCTCCCACTGCCACAACCTGGCCCCCAAGGTAGCCAGTCACAAAGTCTGCCCTTTTTTCTCTCATTCGAAGAGAACGTGGAAGCTTGGTCCAGGCACCTGCAGGAGACACAGGACAGTTTCTCTGCACTAGCAAATTGGAGTGAACACTCAGACCAGTGCTATAGGTCCCAAATGAGAACTGAAATGGACCTGAAAGCCAAGTTTAGACCTGCATCTAAACAGAAATGCCCATGCCCTCTGGCCAGGGGAAAGAATCGGGGTCTAGGCACTCAGACTCTCAGCCTTCAAGTGACCTGGCACTCACCCTGCTCAGAGTCAAACATTTCCACAGTGTTGACAAAGTGTGGGCGGGAATAGAAGTTGTGAGGTCCAGGCTGCTGCAGGCCTCCCAGGCTAAAGAAGCTGCCCTCTGCCATGGCACAGCTAGCAAAGGCCCGCCGGCTGGGCACGCTTGGGTACCGAGTCCAATTCTGCAGCTCAACATCGAACACCTCAAAGGCAGTTACAGGCAACTTCCCTTGGCGGCCCCCTGAAAAATAAAGGGAAAAGATTCTAGGAGGAGTCAGACTAGGGCATCCCTCTCTTCTCTGCCTCTTAACTCCACACCCCGGCCCTGGCCCCTTGCTCCCTCTCCTCGTGCATAAATCATATAATTCTCAATTATTTGCATCATCCTCTGCTGCCCACAGGAGAGAATGAAAGCAATGCTTGTGAGGACAGGTTCACAGTCCCAGTCCTTGCTGGCCTCAACCAGAAACTGTGCTGTGGCCATAAGCTGGTCCCTAACTCTAATCACACAAACCTTCAACTTCACACCTGAAGCCACTTACCCAGAACAAAGATCTTATTCCCCTGAAGGAATGTGGAGGCCCCATAGCAGGGTGTGGGCATGGAAGGCAAGGAGAGCCACCGGTCCCTGGAAGGTTCGTACATCCTCACCAGTGCTTGTGGGGCTGTGTCGGAACCCATCCCACCTAGAGCATATACCACACCATCTGCCAGAGAGAGGGCAGCTTCAGACTTTAAATTGCTGGGGGTAAGCTTGCCTAAACTAACCCTATTCTGGGATGGGATAACCCTCAGCAACCAGTTTGGCTAGTCTAAAGACCAAAAGAAATACTTTGGGACAGGGACACCACCTCTGGCAGAGAGATGTAGGAGATGGACCACCATCAGCAGGAGGATGTCAACAACTCATCCCTGTCTGACTCCCTACCCCTTCCTGTCTAGCCTGAGATCTATCCCTGCCCCCACAGGAATGGGGAGGGAGATCCCTGCTGCTATCTACTCCCTGGGCCACTAACCAGCACCCCCACCCCTTGGTTCTCTCGGTAAGAGTACAAAGCGGGGGAATCTAATTATAATAGCTGGCACAGTCTCCCTGGAGACTCCATAGCAACCAGTCTAGCATCAAAGCCTATAGTCAGTCAGATCCACAGCCCAGAGGCCTCCCCAACCCCAGGGCATACTTAAGTGTGGGTAGAGGCATTCGAGTAAGTAGGGGGCTCAGTCTGGGGCAGGAGGATTGTAAGGGAACTAAATAGAGATGAGGTAGGTCTGGGTTCAGTTTAGGAAGGAGGGTTCTGAATTGGGGGGAGGTCAGTGAGGAAAGAGATGGCTTAGTAGGAGAGGTGGTTATAGGAGAGACAGCCTAGGGCAGGGGCTAAATTGGGGGCTAAACCTGGGAATGGGGTGCGCAGTGTATGCTGTGGGGAAGAAGTCACTGAATAGGGAGACTCAATGTGAGTGCTTCGTCTGGGGGCAGGAGGTAGGTATGGGGTCTCTGTATAGGGCTGACATCAGGGAAGTGGGGAACAAAGTGGAGTTAACTGTTTGTGGAGGCTACTCTGGATTATAGGATCCAAATTAAATATAGAGGGAGAATAAAACAGCTGTGGGCTGTATCTTAACACACTGATCAGACTGATGACTAGGAGGAGAATTCCTGGATACCTCCGTTGTCCTTAGCTCTGGCCCCAGCTGAGCAGGGACATTATCCTGGACTCCAGCTTAGGAATATCTGAAAAGAGCATTCTGGTTTCCAGGAATACTCCCTCCTCCCCCCCCGGGGGACCCCGCCCCGTGTGTGTGTGTGTGTGTGTGTGTGTGTGTGTGTGTGTGTGTGTGTGTGTGTAGGGGGGCACCGTAGGGGACAAAAATGCAGGAAGAGGGGGCAAAGGTCAGTAGGGAGGATCTGCAGGTGCTTCCATGACAATCACCAAGGGGCCTAGAGCTCTGGAGTCTGACCAGAACTTTTATGCAGCCATATCTCCCTGGCCTCCTTCTCCCCAGCTCTCTTCTGTCTTGCTTTCCTTGGTAGAAGGGTAGAGGTGGGAAAGGACATCAGCTAGGCAGGAGGTCTTCCAATTCCATTACTCAAGGTTTTAGACAGAAATCTTCCACTTGGCATGTCTTCACACTTGCTCCCCTCCCTCCCAGCCTATTTATAACTGTGGGAGCCACCGCTGTCTGAATTCCCAGCCCTTATGTCTCCCAGGATGAGTAATAAAGGTTTGATTTTTTGGGGGGGGAGTGGAGACTCAAGCCACCATACTCCAGGAGGCCCCTCTCCTTCACTTGAATGGAAGGACTGCCCTCTCTGAGGCTAGACCGGCCTCCTGGTCACCCACAAATGGCTGGAGCCTCACTTCCTGCCTTCCACTCAGATTACCAGCTCCTGCGGGGGGGGGGGGGCGCGGCTGTGTAGACCAAGGCTGTGGGTTAAATGGGTGGTGGCAGTGGGGAAGTCTGAGGGTGACATTTGGTAGGGCTCCAGCTCCAGCCCAGTTCCCTGGATCTGGGAAGCTCTTACATGAGAGCTCTAGTTCTTAGCAGTTTAGGAGTTGAAGACTTTTTTCTCATTACTCCCTTTCACATTCTCTAAGTTTCAGTTACACTAGACTATTGCTCCCCACGCACAGAATGCTTTCTTCTTATCCATTAAAACTCTTCAAGACTCAAGACTTCAAGCCTGCCTGCCTTGTTCAAGAAGCCTTTGCCTCACATAATCCTACATTTTATAACATTTATTTGTATACACGTCATCCCCCAGTAAACTAGAAGCTTCTTGAGGGAAGGGACAGTGTCATTTTCCTTATTAGCAGCTCTAACACAGAGCAAGAATCTTGACTACAGTAGGGGCTTAATCAATAGTCACTAATTTTAATGCCCAGGTCAAAATGCCTGTCTTGGAGGGGTGGGGGAGGGGAAGTGACCTGAGGGAAATGCATAGAAACAGAAACCACAACAGAGCTAGGAACCCTATGCAGTATGCTAGGAAAGAGGCAAAAAGGTTGGGAATGGGGTTCGAAATAGGGGTTGGAAGAGAGGCTCCTCTCCCTTGGGATCCATTAGGAACCTAAGTCCTATGCTTACCTAGGGCACTCAGGTCCCAGATGTTCCCTCTTTCCCCTAAAGAGCCCCTCAGAGTTACTCACCTAGGATCACTGATTGAGAGTTAGAAGGGACCTTAGCCATCATCTAGTCTGACCCCTTCATTTTATAGAAATGAAAACAGAGCCAGAGAAAGGAAATCACTTGTCCAAGTCAACTAGATATTAATTGGCAAAACAGGGATTGAAACTCAGGTCTTTTGATTCCAAATCCAGGACTCTGTTATAAACCACTGCCTCCAGATTACCTTGATCACACTCCCCCATCATCTTGAAATCCAAGGGTCACATTCTATCTCCCTTGGAGGTATAGCAAGCATTTCACTCCTTCTCCAGAGTCATGTACCTACCCCCAGATCAGCCTTCCCACACCCAAGCTCCTGCTTACCCCTCTCCAAGGCTGAGATGCCCATGGCTGGCTGTGTCAGGGCAGCTCGAAGCTCCCAGCGGCCTTCATCCGTGTGGTAAGCCTCCACAGAAGCCAGGGGGCTCTGCCCAGCATCCATGCCCCCAATCACCAACACCTGCTTGCCTAGGGCTATGGCAGCTGCACCAGCTCTAGGCGTGGGCAGAGGGGGCAGTGAAAGCCACTTATGAGAAGCTACATCCAGCAACTCTGCTGTGCCCAAAGGCAGGCCTGCCCGGCTGCATCCACCCAGCACAAAAAGGTGCCCATCTTGGTATGCAGGTGTGCAGTATACCCGACATGTGGGCATGGAGGGGAACACATGCCAAACAAAGGTTCGGGCCCCACTGCTGGCCATAGCTGGCTGCTCACTTGGGGGGCACTGGAAGTGGCCACTGGCCCAGGGCCATGACCTAGTCAGTCCCTCATGACCCTGCTACCCAGTTTCCTAGTCTTCAGGGCCAGTGGGTGCTCCCTTGAGGAAGACAGACTATGGAGCTCAGCAGGGGTCACAAAGGCATTTCCAGTCCCCAAGGCTGAGCCTAAGAACCAGACATTAGTCTGTTTGTCTGTGGCTTTCTGTCCTGATCTCCAGGGGCAGAGAACAAGCTCCTCAACTCAGCCTGGATGCTGGGGAGGACCAAAGGGGAGAGGATGCACCTTTACCTAGAAAGGAATCACAGAATATAAGAATCAGAAATGATCTTAGAGGACTGCTAGTCCAGCCAACCCATTTTACAGATGAGGAAACCGAGGTCCACAACAGGGAAGTGATTTGTTTGAAGTCACACAGTAAACTGGTGACAGTGCTGCGACTAGAACCTAAGTGACCTGACTCCCAGTCCAGGGTTCTGTCCACAACACCACCTGAATCATGGAGGTGATGGAGAGACAGGAGGGTTGGCAAGGGGCTGGACCGGATGAAATCGGACGGGCAATCTGGGTGCTTGACTTGGGGGGGGGGGTAGGAGGAATGCACTTGGGACCCCTGCCCTTCCAGCACCCCCAGGGTCCTCCAGGTGGGGGGGCAGGAAGGAATGCGGGGTCTGGGCAGGTGTGCGCCCCGCCCAATCCACCTCCCCGCCATCGACGACTCTTTGGCTCCGGCCGGACACTCTCCCGGCTCTGCCCCAAACTTCCCGTCCCGCCGCGGACGCCTGCGCCTTCCAGACCCCGCAGTCCCGGGCCGGGAGGCCCGAGGGCCAGGAGCGTGGCTCCGGAGCCTCGCCGCCAACTTCGCCCAAGTGCCCTTCGCCCTCCCCGGGCCGGCACTTACCCGAGGGTCCCGGCTCAGCCTCTCGAGGAGGGGGCCGGGCCCGGCGGGCGGTCACCGCGCCGGCCCCGACTCCGGCTCCGGCCCCGGCCCCAGTCCCGGCTCCGAGCTCGGTGCTGGCCGCTGGCTCCTCTCGGCACCAGCCCCGCAGCCCCGAACCGTTCGGGAAGGGGAGGGTAGAGGATGGGAGCGGGAGGGGCCGGGGGACGGACCCGCCCCCCCGTCCCAGCAGGCACCCCCCCCCTCAGTTTTCGCCAGCTTCGGGAAAACCATCCAGCGCCTTAACCCTTCGTCTCCCACGCGCGAAGGCGGGACTGGCCAGGGAGGGGGCGCGGCTCCGGCCAGCCGCGGGGCGACGGAAGCTGCGGGAGGCGCCAAAGGGGCTGCGGGACGGGGAGCAAGGCCGGACTGCCTTCCTTCCCCGCCCGTTCCTCGGTCAGTCCCGGCGAACGCGGGACCCCAGGCAGAGGAGGAGGGCAAGCGGGGGGGCACCCCACGCTGGCCAGGTCCCGGCAAGATCAGAGTGGCGGTGGTGGCGCTGCGTCCCCTAGCGGCTGCATCGTGGCGCAGCAGCTGCCCAGCTGGAGCTGCCCACTGCGGGGGGGGGGAGACAGCGATGAAAGGGAGGGGCTAGGAAGTAACTCACTGCAGAGGTGCGTGAGAAAGGTTTTACCAGGTCCTACCCTCCTGCGGTGTGCCATTATACTCTTGCTGCAGAGGAGGAAACTGAGGTTCGGAGAAATGTCGTCCCACCGCTAGAGAGTGGCCTTTGCAGGCATCTTCCCTACCCGCTTCTGTCCTGCCGAGCTGGCTTTCGCTGATCCTTCGCAGGACTTTCATCTCTGCGCCTTTGGTTAGGCTGCTCCCCGCACCTGGAATGCACTCCCTTGTCCCTTCTCAGCTTTGCTCAAATGTCATCGCCTAAAGAGGCCTTCCTTGATCTCTCAGTGGCAAGCGTACCCCAACCACCACTTATTTCTTGTCCGGACCTATTATTTCAGTGGTGTAGGGAGCTGCCCAGAAAGAAAACTCCGTCCATCAATGCAGCCCAGAACCCAGTGTGCAATTTAGTCTACTATCGTTGCCTGCGGCATGGATCTGGCGAAAGCGTCCAGCTCGGAACCACCCAGCTAGTATAGGTCAGAGGTGGGATTCCTGGAGCCCAGGTCCTTCGGATTCCAAGGCCGACTTTCTAACTACTCCCCTCTCTTCCAGATTCTCTCTCTACCCTCTCCCAATTATCTTGTACTTGTTTTTATATGCCTAGTTATGTACAACCCCGCCCCACTCCCTACCCGCCTCCTGCCCCCAGCAGAATGTAGACGAGAGCGAGTGCTATATAAAACTGTGTTTGTGCCCCTGCTCTGTGGTACGATGCCTGGCACATGAAGTTGGCGTTGAATACTTGCTTTTTAATGGCCGGGTCTCTTCCTGACTGCATGTCCAAAGCTCTTTGCACTCCAGTAATTAACCCCCGCCCAACCCCAACAGGCCTTATGGGGGATATGACCCTCACATTATTGTGATTTCCTTTCCCCTAAAGAAGCCTGTCCTCTACCAGTCTCCTACTGAAAAGGCTGGGGGGATGGGACTCCAACTCCTCCACCTTGGGGATTTGTCATCCCTTAGTTACACATTTTTTCAAGACAACTCAAATACCAAATCCCCCAGGAATCTCTTCTCCTTTTCTCCTGAATATTCATACCTATGTATCTCTGTGGCACTCCCCCAGGCAGATTGTGGTTACTTGTGTTCATTTTTTTTAATCTTCCTTTTATTAAAAGACTGAGGGAAGGAAACAGTTTGATTCCCCATAGAGTACCCCAAAGATTTGTCCAGGGCCTCTGACTGTTTTAATTAACCAAGCAATCAACAAGTGCTCCTCAAGCACTATGTGCTGCCTCTCCTCTCCTCTCTCCACGGGGGGTAGCATGCCCTTACCTGAGGATGCTCTGGCCAAAGGAAGGTGAATTTTGATGGCCGAAAGGTACCTTGATACCTTGGGGTCTACTGGCTAGATTGCTTTCTTAAAGACCATGCCTAAAACCCAACTCACTCTGGCTCTCATTGACTGGCCAACAATAGGTCCCTGGCCAAGCACCACTTGATCACTATTTTTTGGGCCCGATGGCTCAGAGTGAATGTAAATATTGTTTGTCTTTTGGCCAAAATCCCTGAAGGTTTTCCCCTCTCAGTTTGAGGGTTTTGTTTGTTTGTTTTAATTAAAGGAGCCATCCCTTGACTCACTTCTTAAACAGCCCTATTCACTGAATGGGCCAAGTGAGAACTTGGAAATCCCTTAGCTTAAAAAGACCAAGGTCCCCCACTGCATCCTGGGCTATCTCCAGTCATCCTGATCTATATCTGGCCACTGGAGCCAGATGGCTCTGGAGGAGAAAGTGAGGCTGGTGACTTTGCACAGCCCTCCCTCACTTAAATCCAAATCACTTATAAGTCATGGCATCATCTTCCTGATGTCACAGTCCTTTTTGAGAACGAAGAACAAACCACACAACTATGTGCTAAGCAACACAGTAATTGGCACTGAGGATATGATGGGGGGGGGAATCAAAGTCTTTTCTCAAGTTTACGTTCCAAGTAGAGAGAGATCACATGTACATAAGTCAACACAAAATACAGAATAAATACAAAATGAATACAAGATGATTAAATACAAGGTAATGGGAGGGGCACTAGCAATTTTGAGGACCAGTAAAGGCTTCAATGGAGGTGATGATTGAGCTCCATCTTGAAGGAATCAAAGCATCTGATGAAGTGGGAAAGGAATACATGCCAGGTTTTGGAGACAGTGAACTTTCAAAAAGACAAAGGTGATGGGAGTGCCATGTGTGAGGGACAGAGAGGAGGTCAGTTTGGCTGGACTGAAGAGTGAAGGAAAGAGAATCATGTATTACAAGGCTGGAAACACAGATTGGGGCCAGGCTGTGGATTGTTTTAAAAGCCAAATAGATGATGCAAAGTGAAATAAGCTGAGCCAGAAAAACAATATTCACAATGACTACTACAACACCACAAATGGAAAGAACAGCCACCGTAGAACAAATGAAACTGAACATCAATGAATTACAAAGAACAAGCCTGTGCCCATGGAAGAGATGTGAGAACACACCTTCCCTGCTCTTTTGCAGAGGTGGTGATCAACAGGTGTGGAACATTGAATATGATGTCAGATTTTTTACAAATGTTCATTGGTTTTGCTGATTTTTTTCTCTTTTAAAAAATCTTTGTTGTAAGGAAAGGAAAGAAAAGGGATACAGGGGGAAATAGAGGTGTTACGTAAAAACAAAAGGTAGCCATTTATTTTCTAAAAAAGCCAAACCAAAGTGTTGATATTCAATCCTAGAGGCAACATGGAGCTACTAGCATTTGTTGAGTAGAGGAGTGACACAGTCAAATTTGTGCGTAAAGAAAATCACTTCGGTAGTTGTGTGGAGGAAGAACTGAAGTGGGGAGAGACTTGAGGCAGAGACCAAACAGGTAGCTGTTGCAATGGTCCAGTCAAGAGGTGAGAAGGGCCTGAACTAGGGTGGTGGCTGTGAGTAGAGAAAAAAGGACCAGTGCAAGAGATATTGTGGAGGTAGAAAAAGTAATGTCTGGAAAACAACTGAATATGTGAGGAGAGGGAAGGTGAGGGGTCAAGAATAACACTGAGGTTACAAGGCCTGAAGATTTAGTATTGGGAGTCCTAGGGGACAAAGTGATTTTTACCTAAGGTTACAGGTCTGGTAGGTGTTAGGCACAACTTGAACTCTGGTCTTCCTGACTCTGAGAATGGCCCCATCTTCACCAAGTCCCCTGCTTCCTCTCTAAAGAGGATGACCAAAAAAGGGACTGCTATCCTATATTGCACTGAGAGGCAAGAGAAAGTGATAGTGGGGAGGCTGGGTGGCACGGTGGATAGAGCACTGGCCCTGGAGGCACGAGGACCCGAGTTTAAATATGACCTCAGATACTTACTAGCTGTGTGACCCTAGGCAAGTCACAACCCCAATTGCCTCCAACAAACCTCCCCCCAAACAAAATAAGAAGGTGATAGTCTTCACTGTACTATATTCTAGTGAGGCCACAGCTGGAATACCGTGCTCAGCTCTGGGCGCCACACTTTAGGAAGAACATGGATGCATCCTAGAGTACATCTAGAGGAGGATGATCAGACTAGTGTGCAGACTAGAACATGCCATATTACTGGCTGAAGGAGTTAGGGATGCTTAGCCTGGAGATGACTGGAGGGACTAAAAGTATGGGGGTTTTTTCAGTCACACTATAATTAGACTATAAGACTGCCTCTTTGACAACTGGTGATTAGCTGAACAAATTTCAGTATATAAATGTAACAGATTATTATTACAAGATAAAAAATGACCCAAAAGACAATTTCAGAGAATCCTGGGTAACTTGAAGGGGTGAAGTGATGTGAGTAGAACCAGAAGACTTTATACAAGGACAACATTGTAAAAAACAAATAAGAAACAATGTTGAAAGACTTAGAAACTCTAATCAATGAAATGACCAACTATGACTCCAGAGGCCCTATGATGAAGCAATGTTAACGCACCTCCTGACAGAGAGGTGAAGGATACATAGTATAGACACATACATTTTTGGACAGGACCACTGTTTGGATTTCTTTTAACGGTGCTTACTTGTTAGGATTTTTTTCCCCTTTCTCTCAATTAATTCTCTTAATTGGGAGTGGTGATGGTTATCCATAGTGATGCCAAATAAAATGGGCACATTTTTTACAAAGTATAGACCGGGCAGCTAGGTGGTGCAGTAGATAGAGCACCAGCCCTGAAGTCAGGAGGACCTGAGTTCAAATCCGGCCTCAGACCAAACAATTGACACTTACTAGCTGTGTGACCCTGGGCAAGTCACTTAACCTCAATTGCCTTTAAAAAAAAAAGTATAGAACACTACATCAGATTGCTTGCCATCTTAGGGAGAGGGGAGGGGAAAGACGGAGGGAGAAAAAATTTGGAACTTGCAGTGTTATAAAAATGAATGCTGAAAATTATATTTACATGTAATTGGAAAAAATAAAATACTATTAAGTGGGAAAAAAGAAATAAGAAAATAAGAAAAAATGCACAGCACAGAAGGAAGTTCAGAAGCACAGGTAAGTACTATTTTGAAAGCAACATGTACAATTTATTATATGCTTTTCTTTTTAAAAGCAAAAAGTATGAAAGGGAGATTCAAAATTTCATATAGAATCTTTTTGTGTTTGAAAATGTTCTTTTTGTGCATTTAAAGTTCAGAATAAAAAATAACAATTGTTTTTGAGGTTTGTTGAAGAGTAGCCAAGGGAGATATGATCAATATCTTCAAGAATCTGAAGGGCTATCACATCAAAGGGCTGTCACAGGACAGCTAGGTGGCCCAGTGAACAGAATGCTAAGCCTGGAGTCAGGAAGACTCATCTTCCTGAGTTCAAATCAGGCCTCAGACACTTACTACTTGTGTGACCCTGGGTAAGTCATTTAACCCCATTTCCTTCAGTTTCTTCATCTATAAAATGAACTGGAGAAGGAAATGGCAAACCCCTCCAGTATCTCTGCCAAGAAAACCCCAAATGGGGCCATGAAGAGTCCAACATGACTGAAATGATTGAACAACAACATGGAAGAACTAGAAATCGACTTGTCCTGCTAGGACAGAGCTAGAAGCAAAGGACATATGGTGTAGGATAACATCTCCCTTCTAAGTAAGAAAACAACCCTAAATCAGGAGAGATATAAAAGAGTAGGATGGGCTAAGTGGACTAGATAATTGAGCTCTGAAGTCCTTAGGAGTCTTTGATTCGCCTCTCTCCCTCAGATCAGTAGGGCACAGAGCTTTGTACCCTGGATGCCTGTTATGTGGCATCACTGAATTTTTTTTTTTACTGAAATGCAGTGGCAAGTGCAAGGTGCCAAAAGGTAGAAGGCGGATCATCTGTAGAAGAATTGATCAGGGTCAGCAAAATCATAGACTTTAGAGATAGAAGGCACCTTAGAAATCAACTGGTCCAATCCCTCATTTTACACATGGAGAAACTAAGAGAAGTTAAAGGATTTGTCCAAGGTCATACAGCTAGTAAATGAAAGAGTCAGGATTTAAGCCCAGGTCTTTCTGACACCTAACCCACAGCCCAATTCACTATAATCAGTATAGATTCACTCGTGTGCTCAGGCTGACTAGGTGAAAGTGGGGAAGAAGACAGGAAAAGAGCAAAGGGAAGGAACCTGTGGGGTGAAAAAGAGTGGGACTCAATCTAGTGGGAAAGGCAAAACTCATGGCAAGAATGGTTAAGAGAATACAACAAGGCAGGACTACATAGATTTTGAAACTGGGGGTTGCAAACTACAAGTATAACAGAGCTCAGGAATAGCAAACCAGAGAAGGCTGGTGTAATCCTGAAAGACTTCCTAGAGGAGGTGGTATTTGAAGTGGGCCTTTGAAGGATGGGTAAATTTGGATAGCAGCAGATAGATGGAGGTGTGGGGAGGATAAAAGTAGGGAGCTAGGAGTGGGATTCGTAAAGCATGTTAAGACCCAGGGAGACTAGACTGGTTGGTCCCATTTGCCTGCTTCCCTCTCAGGGCCAAGAACATATCTTTGCCACAGGACCCAGAGCAAAGTAGATGATGTTTACTAAAGGTGAAACAAGTTGTACTGTAACTCACCCTGGGCTAGGATTCACAAGATAAAAAGATTTAAAGATAGAAGAGCCCTTAGAGATCATCTCCTTGAGGGCTTCTTAAACGGGGTCCACGTAAATTTCAAGGAATTACAGCTTTATTTCCATGTAATTTGTTTCCTTTGTAATCCTCTGAATTTTACTTTATTCATTTAAAAACATTATTCTGAGAAGGGATCTATAGGCTTCAGGGGCCCATGACACAAAGTTAAGAACCCTTGATCTAATCCATGCAGTTCATTTTACAGATGAGGAAACGAGTTCAGAAAGGTTGTGACTTACTAAATAGCAGAGTCAGGATAAAGCAGGAAACATGAGTCCTAGTCTCTTCCCTGCCACTACTTAGCTCTGAGAGTTTGGGCAATTCATCCGGCTTCTCTGAGCCTTATTTTATTTGTAATAAGAAAAGTTATAAGTTATTTGCATGGTAAATTGTAAATAAATCATAGTAGAGCAATTCAAGGTATTACTATTGTATTGTAAAGTCAGTCATCTAGTATTTATTAAGCCCTTGCTATGTGCCAGACACTGTGCTTTAAGCACTAACAATGAAAAATAGGAAAGAATACATAAAAATATGTTGATTTATGGAAATTAATGCAAAGTAAAGAAAAACATTAACATTAGAATAAACTATCTCACTAGTTCTCATAGGTTCAAATATCATCTCTATGTAGTGAACTCCCAAATGTCTATGTTTAGCCTTAATTTTTCTCAAGCTCCAGTTTGTACAAACTAGACATCCCCTGGATGCCCTATTTGCATTTCAAAGTCAACATGTCCAAAATGGAATTTATATTTTTCCCCAAACCCATCTCTCCTTTCTATTAAGGTTACTACCATTACTCCAGTCACTCAGGCTCACAACCCCAGAAGCATCCTTTCTGTTACCAAGTCATCAATTCTACTTTCAAAACATCTCACATTCAATCTCTTTTCTCTACTCGAATAGCTACTATCCTAAATTCATCACCTCTTACCTCACCTATTTCAACAAAGATAGTTAGGTATCAAAGTCAACAGAGCACTGGGCCTGGAGTCAGGAAGACCTGAATTCAAAGTCAGGCCAGATACTGATTAGCTATATGACCCTGGGTGGGTGAATCATTTCATCACTCTTCGCCTCAGTTACTTCACCTGTTAAAGGAGATAATAATTGCATCTACCTCCCACGGTTGTTGTGAGGCTCAAACAAGATATTTGTAAAACCTCAGTGTAGTGCCTGACACATAATAGGTGCTACATAAATGCTAGCTATTATTATTCTAATTGGCCTCTTCCTTCTGGTCCTTTCCCTTCCCCAATCCAAACAGCATGAAACTAGCCAATTAATATGCCTTAGATAAAAGTCTAATCATGTTACTCCCAAACTGGGCACCTTCATTGGCTCCTTATTGCCTCTAGGATACAACAAACTCTTCAGCCTGGCATTTAAAGCCCTCTATAATCTTGTTCCAACCCACCTTTACAGTCTCAGTTCACATCACTCCCTTTCATGCATAACGCATTCCAGCCAAACTGTCCTCCTATCTGCTCTCTGAACTCTATCATTCCCTCTATCCATGCTTCTGCACTGGTGTGAGCCTCACATCTGAAAGGCTCTCCCACTTCAACTCTGCCTATAACTATAAATCTCCAAAATATCCTTCAAAGTTCAGGGCTGGGGTCAGGTCCTTTGTGAAACCTCTCCTGATTCAGCACAATCTCCTCCAAAACTTCTCCCTGCTTCCCCTTCAATGTTGGTAGTATTTGAAATAGAGACAGAAGAAAAATTGGTAAGGAATACAGGGTAAAGTTTTAAATGGAATTTTATTCCTTATTTCCTATTTGTTGAAATTACTAAATTTTGTATTAAAAAAAAACCTTCAACAATTTATTAAATCATCGAGGTTGGCACTCTTTCTATTCATGAGGATCCCAATTCTTCTACACCTTGTAGCAGATGGTTTTCATGAGTTGTTTCATGAGCTGTTCTCAGGAATAGCCAAAAAAAAAAAGTTATTCCCTGACCAACTCTCTGGTGATAAGCCTCTCTCCATTTAAGGAGGGATGGCTCTCTTGGCAGAAACAAAGTCCATCATCAGGCCAACATGAAAGGCCTTTCTGGCTTCAGAGGACTGGCCTGAATGAACACAGCTTTTGAGAACCCAAGATACCGCCATGCCACAGAGAAGCATTAGAAATCATTTACCTGAGGAATACATTTAGAAGTTATTTTAAAATGTACACTTCTCTGCACTTTAGTTTCCATCCCTATAAAAAGAGGATCATCTACCTCAGGGGGCATATAAGCACATATAAAAGTGCTTCCAAAAGTTTAAAAATGTGAGAGAAAGAGGAGGCATTATCTTACATTTATGCTTTAGTAAGCTTAGGGAAAGGCAGGCCATTTATGTGGGTAAGGAAGGGGGGAGGCAATCGGTGGTGGCTGGAGGGTGAACAGAAAGGGCAAATTGAAGGATAGTTATAAGCTCATTTGGGTAGTTTAAGTCATGACTTGGTGCTGGTGATGATGGTGATGAGGATGATGATGAATGACAGGTGGAGAGGACTGAACCAAGGAAGAAATGACAGGCTGTGGTAAAGCACTGGCCATAGGGAAGTGGGGGGAAATTCGAAGAGTGGGTGGTAGGTCAAAAACACATTGCAGAATTCTAGCCTTGCAAACCACTGTTACCAGTAGGAAGGCGGTCAAATTGGAGCTAAGGGACAAGGGGAAGATTCTGAGTCAGAGTTAGCTTTAAGAACCCTTCCATTACAACCCACAATTAGAAATGTCTTAGAGCACAGTGCTGGAGATATGGACTTGGGGGCCATTTTGAAAAGGCAGTAGTGGTAGGTAGTTTGTCTAGCTCTTTTCTCATCTATTCCCCTGGGATATCTGACCTAACCTTCAAAACCCATGTCCAATTCTCAAGGACAGGATAGATGCATTCCACACTAATGAATTCTACATAACCAATTTCTTAACATCCTTTCAGGACTGACTCACACCCAGTTTGCACATGAGTAGTATATCATATAAAACATGTTTTTTAGTAAAATTAATATATGTGTGCATTAGTACCAAGAAAGTGTAGGTGGTGTTATGGGAAAAGCAGTGTACTAGGAGTTGGGACATCAGAGTTCTAGTTCCATGTCTAATCCTGGCTGGTTGCTAACTTCCTCATTCTCACCTCTGATAGAGGTAACCCAGACTCTAGCACTATCCCAACCCTCAGGATCATTATACCCTTTCCGACACTGCTTGGCATACAGCAAGGACTTGATATGTGTTTTCCAATTCCATTCCATATTTATATTAGACCTACTGTGGAAACCTGTGTGACCCACTTTCTTTCTACTTCTGGTGTTGGCTTAGCCAGAGTTAACCTTGTCCTAAGCCCTCCCCTCAGAACCCAGCCATACCAACTACGGGTCTACCCCATGTAGCCAGTGAGAAAAAGAGAGAAGTAGTATGTGGCCCCACACTGGAGTTGGATTTTAACGTGTAGATTCCAATCCGATGGGCACCAATTTGTGTAACAGAAACCAAGGCAGAGCCAGAACCCTGATCCAAACCAAAAGTCCAAGTGCAAAGGTCCTAGGAGTGAAGGGGAGATCCATTCCCAACCTACAACTCCCACATTGGCCAAGCCAAAATAGACTACAGAAATGATGAGGGCCAGATCCAAGGGTCCTTCCTACCCTTTGCCCCCTCCCCATCCTGATTAAAATGGAGCAGGTAACTTGCCATAAAGTCCAGAAGGGCTATTATTCGTTGAAGCAGTCTGGAAGTCCACTCCTCAGTTGAGCTGATTTCTCAACAGCCACCACCTGCTTGGGCCTTTGACAAGTATTGGTCATACCGATCCTCACACTGGCTCACAGTCATCAAGAAGTAGTCAGGGTTGGCAATGGCTTGAAGGAGATCATTTTGCACTAGGCAGATGCTGTAGAGTTCAGAGGTAGGGACTGTGCAGCATTCTTGTTCTCCCTGGCCCATAAACACCTGTAGCCAAGAGCACACACACACACACACACACACACAGAGCTCATAGGGGTAGAATATGCTGGGGTCTCTGTATGAGGCTGGGAAGAGTGCCTCTGCCCAGTAGTATGTTGCACAAAATCCCCATTCATCCTTTAGCCCCCAGGAAAGACTACAATCCTCAGTTCCTCCCACGGTGGCCAATGCAGTGGAAGGCTTGGAAATCAGCCCAATCCTACCATAACCAACTTTGCTGGCCCTTAGGATGGGTGTCTCACATGAACTTGAGTTAATTCCATTCATAAGATCATTGATTTAAAGCAGGAAGTGACATTAGAAACCAATTCCAACTTCTTCATTTGATAAATGAGGAAACTGAAGCTGAGAGAGGTCTACTGGTGATCTATTACTTCCAGGATCAAATATAAAATCCTATTTGCTTTTAAAGCTCTTTCTAACCTGGACCCTCCTACCTCTCCAGCCTTCTTACAACTTACTCCCCTCCACATACGCTGAGATTACATGATTGTGCATATATAACCTCTATCAAATTGCTTACTGTCTCAGAGAAGGGGAAGGTGAAGGAAGGAGGGAGAAAATTTGGAACTCAAAATTTTTAAAAAATGAATGTTAAAAATTGTCTTTACATGTAATTGGGAAAAAATAAAATACTCTTTAAAAAACAAGAAACTAGTGGTGTCCTTGCTGTTCCTCACACGTGACACTCCATTTCCCAACTGTGTGCAATTTAGCATTTTCATTGACTGGCCCCCAAGCCTGGAACTCTCTCTTCCTCATTTCTGCCTTGTGGCTTCCGTAGCTTCTTTCAAGTCCCAGCTCAAGACCCATCTTCTGTAAAAAGCTTTTCCTGGTCCTCCTTAATTTTAATGACTTCCCTCTGAAATTATCTCTAATTTGTCCTCTATATATCTGGTTTCTACACAATTTTTGCATGCTGCTTCTTCCCACCTACTTGAAAGCTGAGACTATTTTTGCCTTTCCTTATACCCTTAGCCTAGCCTACAGTAAGCACTTAATAAATAAATAAATGCTTTAATTATATATATTTGTAATGAGTTTTGTTTTTCTTGCCTTCTCAATGGGTGAGGGAGTGGCAGTAGCTAGGGAGTGAATTCAGAACTGAAAATGAAATAAAATTTTTAAAAAAGTGAAAGCTGGTTGACTTATTTACTCAAATTAATCTAGGGTCACATAGCTAAATGTGAGGCAGGATTTGAACTCATGTCTTCCTGCCTCCAAGCCCAGTAGTATATCCTCTATCCACAGAGCTGCTTCCTGTCTCTGTGAGTTAGAGGCTATCTCCTCTCCCTCCCAATACTCCAATCCATTTGTACCTGGGGATGGAAGATGCTCTCTCCATCCTGCAGCCGAATATTATCATCAAAGCAGATGTGCTGGACCTCAGGGTCATGGGATCTACCCATAGTGGCTTGCCACCCTGGCTGGAGAAATTGTTCTTAGCCCACCTGGAGAGGAAGGGAAAATGGGGGATGTGGTGGGGGCGGTCATCATGGAGCCTACAGCTTCCTATGGTGGAGCTTCAGACTAGGATGGCGTTATGCCAGTGACAGGTGAGCTAGTGTGTGGGTTCTACGTGGGTTCACCCAGGCCCATTCCAGAGGTAGGAGCTTCAATTGTAGGATACATAATGAGCTTTCACTGCTTGGACTGCCTGGCAGGAGAGCTGCTGGCATTAAATCATACAGCCAAGTCAAAATTTACTAAGCAACTACCGTGCACCAAGTGTTCAGGGAAGGCTTTGCTCATGAAGGAGCCAGTACCTAAACTATACTTTGGAGGAAGGGATGGATGTCCACACAGGAGCCCTATGGAGAAACTGGATTCTTCAATACTAGGTCACTCCCTGACCCTGAAGGGGCTGTGACCAAGCCAGAGATGGCAGCTCTCAGGGTGACAGAGGGTAGGGTAGAAAGATCTCCAGAGGGGCAGCAAGGTGGTGCACTGGATAAAGCACCAGCCCTAAAGTCAGGAAGACCTGAGTTCAAATCAGACCAAACACTTGATACTTACTAGCTGTGTGAGCCTGGGCAAGTGACTTAACCCCAATTGCCTTAAAAAGAAAAAAAAATGTCAAAGAAAAAAGAAAAGAAAGAGCTCTGGAATGTCCCAGAATACTAGAGTTTCAGACTGGGCTCTGACACTAACTGGTCCTGTTACCCCGAGCAAGTCACTTCTCTTTGAGTGTTTTTTCATCTGTAAAATGGTGAGAATAATACTTGCACTGCCTATCTCCTAGGGCTGTTGTGAGGAAAGTACTTCGTAAATGATAAATAACTCCTCTGGGTTGTTATTGTCATTACCAAGCAAAGTGGTCCTGAAAGCCCCCCAGGCCTTCCATAGCACTGAAGTAGTCATACACGACTCTTGCATCTGGCGAACCTGACACAAACTCTTTCCCTCGACTGACCATCACCTTTTTTGGACTGCAGCGGATCTTTCCGGGTCGCAGGTCCACAGGGAGCTGCAAGAACACGGAGGGGTTGAGGCCAACACATATCCCCAGTGTTACCCACCTCCCCTTGTTTCTCCTTCCCTCTTCCCCCACCCCCAGTTCTAAGAAAGACTGGAGGCTCTTCAGTTACTAGACTACTGAACCTCTCCTAAGGAATGTCCTACTCTGGTTTCCCTTGCCCCAAGAGCATCTCTCACCACCACCTCTTTCAGAGCTGAGAATTGTGGATGCTGGCCTTGAAGAGCATTGTGTGTGGTCTGAAGTAGTGAGGTCAAGTCTTTGCCAAAAGTGCGGAAAATGACAGCAAAGCGACGGCCCTGCTGACAAAGACCAGCCAGTAGATTGAAAAAGGCTGGCAGTACACGGTGGTAATGATGGCCATCCTCCCCTGGGACAGAGAAAACTGCATCAGGCTGGCCAGGCCACTCCAACAGCTGCAAGTAGGAGGAGAAGAGTGTCTGGAAGGGGCGGCCCAGGGTACTTGATGTAAACTTGGTGTCCCGGCCAAAATTCGAGGAGAAGCTGGTGGCATCAGGGGTAGGGGGCAGTAATGAAGGGAACTCACTCAGCCACTGCCACTCACCTGAAAGAGAAAATGAGTCCAGAGTTGGGGTTGGTGTGTAGTAGGGAAGGGAGAGATACAACATGGCCAAAAATCAGCAAAAGAGGATATATCTGTCCCCCTCTCATATATGGAGCTCAATGGCGGCCAACTCTCTCCAAAGCCAGTGATCAGAGCTGAGTCGGTAGTCAGAAGTATGATCCTAATTTCATATTAGAGCTGGAAAAGATCTCAGAGACTATGTATTGCAAGTCTTTCATTTTCCAGATAAGGAAACTGAGACCCAGAGAGGGAACTTTTTTTTCTTGCATGGACTTGTAACTTCATACACGTAGGGAATTTCAGGCAAGAAAACTCCTTTTATCAATGCAGATCTGCTAATCTTCTGCAACGTTTAAGAAGACTGCATTGGGCACTGGGAGTTTAAGTGATTTGTCCAAGGACATTTGTTTTGAGAAGGGAATAATAGTAATAATAGCCATTTCTATGTCTCTGTATAATTTCTATATCATTTCTATAGCTCTTTAAGGTTAGTAACATGCTTTACAAATGTTCTCATTTGATCCTCTCAACAACTCTGAAAGGTAGATGCTATAATTATCCCCATTTTAGAGAGGAAACTGAGGCACCAGCTGCCTTTATGGTTTACAAAGTGGTTTCCTTACATCCCCCAATGAAATAAGTAGTACAGTTGTTATTACCCTCTTTCAGATGGAGATGATAAACTGAGATTCACAGAAGTAGTGATTTGCCCAAGGTCACATAGCTGGTAACTGAGGAATCTGAAGGAGTTGAACGGGTAAAGTGGGAAAAGGGCCAAATACTCAATAAAATGACCCAGTTCAAATATCATCTCTATTATATACTACCTGCGTGACTTTGGGCAAGTCACCTCATCTCTCTGACCACCAGCTCCCTCCTTCGAGGTAGGGCACAATGACTTTCCAAGGTCCCCGCCTCCAATCAATCTATAATCCACCAAACCCCAGTCTTCTCTGAGTTAAACCACAGCAACTTGCCCGAGGCCACAGGGAGTCAGGAGAGGGTCCCGAACTGGAACCCAGACATCCTGACTCTCAGGCCATGACTCTTTCACTTGCACCCATAACCTCTCCACAGGCTGTGCCCTGATCTAGGGGAGAGGAAGAGTGTCTCTAGGGAAACCAGATCAGGGATACTTTAGACTTATACTCATTGGGGATCTCAGGTCCTTTCCCAACAAAAATAAAATGGTGCTATAAGCTTTACAAAATGCTTTCCTTATAAAACCCTGTCAAAATCCCATTTTACAGAAAAAGAACCTGAAGCTCAGAGTTCAGCAATTTGTGCCTAAGGATCACACAAGAATAAAAATCAAATCAGGATTTCAACCTGACTAATGTCAAATCCGGATTTCAACAGGTCCGGCAGCCCTTCCATACCACTCCAGTGCCTCTCCTGACGGCTCCTGAAGATTTACTCCCTCACCCTCTGCAATAACCAGGAGCCCAAAGACCCACCTAAGACACAAATGTATGTTGTCAACAGGCACCCAAAGCTGCATGGTCCTGGAATGCTTCTTACCCTCCTGGTTGAACTGCCCCCAACACACAGTGCTCAGGTAGGAGTTGAGGGCAGCCACAGGGCCCTGACCAGTGGCACTGTCAGACACGAGGATGGTGTTGTTTATGTCCATGTGAAGGACCAGTTTTTTGGTTCTTACAATGAGAGGATATTCAGGGAAGCCCAAAGAGTCCTGACCCTCAGCCCCCAGACGTCCACCAGGATGGGGACACAAAGGCTTCCCAGGCTCCTCGGGATCTGGGCTCCCCGGGGGTGAAGGAATCCTCCTCGGGGCCACGAGTCTCTCTCTATTTCCATCCTTTTCTGTGCCTGCAGCCAAGGCAGGAGTTCTGGGGAGTCTGCTCAGGTCTGGGCTGACAGCCCGGCAGGCAGCAGACTCCTCCATGCTCATGCCCTGCAGAGGAGGGGAGGGGCTGGGGGGGGCAAAGAGGAAGCTAGAAAAAAGATTATGGAGGGAAAGAGAATTAGGGGTTGGGATAGGGGTTTGATTTCAGGTGCAGGGGAGAAGGGTTAATTTGGGAAAGAAGGGCAAGAGGCTGCAAGGAGTGAGGAGTGGTCTCTGCGGCTGGGAAGAGAAGGGTTAATGGGGGAGGGGTTCCTTGAGGGTCAGGGAGCTCTCAGGCAAGGGGACAGGGCGCAGAGTTGGGGTCATGAGTCAGAGGCGCTGAAGGGTCAGTTTTGCTCCAGAAGAGAATGAAACTAAATGGCTGAGGGGGAGGCTGCCTTGGGAGGAGCTGGAGGTCAGGGATCCGGAGTCCGTGACATCTCAGGAAGAGAAGGGCCAGATGGCGGTCTCGGGGCCTGGAGGCAAACCAGCGCCCAGACGTGGCTCCCCAGGGCGGGGCGAGTGGGTGGGTGGTCTTCGACCCAGGGTCCGCCTAGTAGCCTCAGCGGCGCTGTCCCATCTCTTGACTTCCGGCCTCAGGTTGCCGGCACCACAGACACCGGAACTGGCTGCCGGACCTGGGCTAGAGCGTCTCCATTCCGCCCCGCCCCACCCCAGTCTTGTAGTGCTCCCTAGTGACGGGTTGGGCCAGTTCCTCCAGTCCGACTGGGGGCGGGACAAGTGCCCCAGCTGACTCCTCCCTCTCCCTAACGAAGTTTCTCCGCACCGCCCATCCCCACCTCTGTCAGTGCCTAGATGCTCCCAGCCCTTCCAGCGAGCCCTGCCTATTTGGACCCACCCCCAGACCCTTGGGACCCCAACTCCAACCCAGCCCTAACCCACCCTATCCACCAACCCTTGGGTCTCTATCTGGATCAATGGCCTTGGAGTCTCTGTCCTCTATTCTGCTAACCCCTGGGATCACGTCTCGGCCCCGCTAATTGGTAACTGTGGGACATTAAGCAAGCTACTGAACTCTGGGCCTCAACTCCGTCAAATGTAAAATCATGGAGTTGGATCAGATGACCCCAAGGGCCCTTTCTACTCTAAATCTAAGTCTTTAAATAATGTCTAAGATACCTTGTAAGAAATATGACAGAGTGGTTAGAGTTTTGGATTTGGGAGTATTGAAAGGGTCCACCTCCTGCCTCAGATGCTGTGTGAATTCATACAATTTCTTGGAGCCTCAGCTTCTTCAACTGTAAATTTGGGATAATAATAGCAACCAGTTTTTAGGGGTTTTTGAGAGAAGCAAAATGAGATAACTTTTGTAAAGCTTGCAAACAGTGATGTATACATGTCAAAGTTATGTTTTTTACAACTCTAATCTAATCTCTGTCCCATCTCCTACCCTCCAGCTCAGCTCTGCCCTCAGTCTGGTTCTAACCAAATTAAAATTCAATTCAACAAACATTTAAGAAGTGTTTACTACGTGTAAGGTATTCATCTAGGTGCCAGAGGAATGTAAGTTCAATTTACATTGGTCTGGAGGCTATAACACTATATTTACCATAAGTAAATACAAGATAATTAGAGGATGAAAACCCAAGCTGATCACCTGGAAGAATCAGGAAAGACTTCATGTAAGAGATGATACATAAGGTGAACCTTGAAAGTAACTGAGGATTCTCCCGGTATGGAAAATGGCCCATTCAAAGGCAGGGAAAGTAGAGAGAGCATATCAAGGTGTAGATTCAGGTAGTGGACCAATTTGGCTGGAAGTTAGGTAGAGTGGTTGAAGGGGAATAATGTCAAATAAACCAAAGGTGTTAGAAGGAAGATAAGGGGTGATTGGCTCAATTTTTGCCTCTCCAGTTTATCCCAGAATCAGGTCACTTACCTATGAGGAAGGCAATTGAAATATGCTTCTCTAGCAGGGATGGCTTGAGTACCCCTGCACAGGAGGAAGGAAAAGTACTTCTAATCAGGATATGGGGGAGGGGGTGGGTGGAGACAAGGTAACTAGGGCTCTTTGTTTTTTCCTGTTACAAGCCTCTTTTCCATAGACGTGTTTGTGTTGACACAGCTGTCTGGAACTGGGCTACCACAGGGAAGTAGCTCTTGTTTGCACAGGATGTCACCTGCCTGCCCCTCCCTTGCTCATGTTAACCTTTGGCTAGGGCAGGTGCCTACTGCAGGGGATCCAACCTAACCAGGGGCAGCAGCATCCATCAACTAGAGGGCAAGACCCAGTTCAGGATCCTGCATCTGGCCAGAGCCTGACCTATACAGGTCTCCTAAAAAGCCAGAAAACTGATCAGGTAACAGGTCCTTCTGTCTCCTCTAGACAGATTGGGATTGCTTTAGCTGGAAACCTTCTTAGAACAGCCCTTCCGGCAACCGGAGTCAAGGTCCTATGCCCTGAAGCTGTGTCCAGGGGAAAAATAGGGAACAGAATCTGGGAGTGGGGGGCATGTGGAGAGCAGAACACCAACCCAGCCTATGACTCCTAGGATCCTGAGGACCAACCATTCCTGTTGAGCAGAGGACAGACAAGAGGATGGATACAGATGAAGAGGGAGGCCAGTTGGAATGCCAGAACTCCAAGGTGGGAATGCTGTGGCCAACACTGACTTCTGTCTGACTTTCTCTGAGACGCCACTAGGATCTCTTATTCCTATGACCTTTGACCCTTTTTTCTTACCCCCAAATTTTCCATTTTCTCCCACCTTTGAGCTTCTGCCCTTGTTTTTCCCCAAGACCTAAAAGGCCTCCCTTGCTGAAAGTCAATTCAAATTTGACTCCTTCCATGAATACTCTTCAGACTCCTCCAGTCTTTCCCCTTCAGATCTCATGCAGTACTTAACTTTTGTTGTCTGACATGTATGTAACATGTATTCTATGTAATATATGTATGTAACATAATTATATGACATGTGTTCTAGCTAGCTGTGCTTTTTTCATCTTATCTCCTTACTAGACTGTGAATTTATGGAAATGGGGACTGTGTTTTTTCTAAACTCTCAATCTCCCTGAGGGCCTAGCTGTTTGGTGGGTTGTCTGTCATTCTCAAAAACCACCAAAATGAAATCAGTATGTTGGGGATCAAGGTACAGTGTGTCCAACTGTGGCTGAGCAGATGAACAGGAGCTGAGAAGGTTCTACCATAGGCTGGGCACAAATAGTTCATATGAACATTTGGACTGATGTCTCTAAATCCACACATCTCACATTTCCTTTGAGCTACTGCAATTCTGCTTTGCTCATTGAGCACAGCACCTATTTTGGTTCAGGAACACCAAACTGTGCAGTCCTGTGCCAGGATCTCTCATATGTCGTAATCAATTCCAAAGTTTTTCAGAGAAACTTTGAGAGTGTTCTTGTATTGCTGCTTCTGACCTCTGTGTGAACATTTGCCTCACTCCTGTGAGCTCTTTCCGCAAAATCATCTTAAGCAAATGTACATTTGGCATTCGAACGATATGGTCAGCCCATCAGTTATACACCCTGCAGTGTCTGAATGCTTGGTAATTCAGCTCAAGAAAGGACTTCAATCAGTTAATAGAGCACCAGCTTTGGAGTCAGGAGGACCTGAGTTCAAATGTGGCCTCAGACACTTGGCACTTACTAACTGTGTGATCCTGGGCAAGTCACTTTACCTTGATTGCTTGCCAAAAAAAAAAGGCCCTCAATGCCCCATACCTCGTCTTGCCAGGTGATCTTCCGAATCTTCCTAAGACAATTCAAATGGAAGTGATGTAGTTTCCTGGCATAGCATTGGTATGCTGTCCAGGGTGTACAACAATGAGATCAGCAGGATGACTCTATAGACTTTCAGCTTGATGGGCAGCCTAGTATTTTTTCACTCCCATTTTTTCCTTCGGAACCTCCCAAACACAGCTAGCTCTGGCAACGCATGCATCAACCTTATCATCTATGTGTACGTGGCTCTTTGTTGTATTGTATCCATGATAGATTCCTTCTTCCTCTTATAGGAGCTGGGCCTGGAAGGTCTAAGTCCAAGGGAGCAGGAGAGCCTGAAGTTCCTTTTGGACACCATTGCTGCTCTAGATGGGGATGGAGACAGGGATAGGGACAGGGACCTGGAGGCTCTAGACAGTGGTCAAGCCTCAGTACCAGGTAAGATCCTGGGTACAGGAGCATAGCAGAATGGGTGGGGATAGACCCTGGACTGAATGAAGATACAGAGTCTGCAAGAATCCCAGCTGCTCAACACCTCATAGGATATCAATTATCAGGAATTTTAGAGGCCATGGAGTCCAATCTGGTTGGGTAATTAGTGGGGGACACTGGGACCCAAACAGGGGAGGGACTCTTCCAAGTCACAGAAATAGAACTAGCACCTAGGTCTTGAGATGTGACTCCTAGCCAAGGGTTTTCCATGCTACCTTGCACTACCACTTCTTTCTCATATGATGGGAATTTTGAGTTGGTGGAGAGGAAGTACATGAGTACCAAGGCTTTTATCCCCTAATAAATCTAATCTGTCTCCACCCTATTTCTTAGATGGTCCTCTGGAGCACAAACCCCTGAGCACGATGCCTCAACCCCTGTCCGCCCCAACCAGACTCCGTAAATTTGACACCATTGTCCGGTCTGGCATCAGTGTCAGAGAGCTACGGGACCATTTCCGGGGACTGAACCAGGTACCAGGGACCAAAGAGACCACGAGAGGAATGCTGCCTCCTCGTGCCCAGAAGCCTGGACTTCTTCCAGGCCATGTCGGGCTTGCAGGAACCCCCAGCCAGGTTGCTAGGGTTCCCAAACTGTGAACTGGTCATCAAAGGGAACCTGGGACCCAATTAGCTCAGGGTTCATAAGAGACTATAGAATTCCAGAATCTCAGAGCTGGAAGAGGACCTCAAAGAGCATCTAATCTAAGCCATGGTGTTGTGAACAGTAGTTGCCCAATGGTTAGAGCACAGGACTTGGACTCTGTGGGCCTCAAAAATCCAATCTGCAAAAAAAAGAAACCGAGTCAAAGCTCCAAGCACAATCAGTTAATTAGGGAGATCAATGGTTGGTAAGCAATTGGATCCAGGACCTTCCTCAAAGTCAAGGATCCTCCTGTTCAGCGACCAGCCCCTTTTTTTTAACCTTGGGAGGTCGAAGTGGTATACTACAATTCATGATTGGTCATCTTTAAAACAAAAAAAAATTTATTTTTCCCCAATTACACGTAAAAATGATTTTTAATATTTGTCTTTTAAAATTTTGAGTTCCAAATTCTTTCCCTTCCCTCTCATTGAGAAGGCAATCAATTTGATATAAATTATATATGTGCAGTCATGCAAAACATGTTTCTATATTGGTCATATTGTGAAAGAAAACATACACAAAAAACTCAAGAAAAATAAAGAATGCTTTGATCTGCATTTAGACTCCATCAATTCTTTTTCTGAAAGTGGATAGCATTTGTCATCATAAGTCCTTCAGAATTGTCTTGGATCATTGTATTGCTGAGAATAGCTGAAGTTCTTCACAGATGATCATTGTACAATATTGCTGTCATTGGGTATGATGTCCTTCTAGTTCTGCTCACTTCACTTTACATCAATTCATGTAAGTCTTTCCAGGTTTTTCTGAAAGCATCCTGTTCATCCTTTTTTAT